ACTTCAGAAACATAATTCTCTATGTAAGTACTTGATAGTCTATTAAACTGGTCATTAGTAAAAATACAAAATTTTTTTAACTATAAAAATTCAACTGATAGATCTAACTTAACTAAAGACAAGACTGTGGTATTTAAAAAGAAATTATTACTAATTAATATCTGCCAATGAGCCACTGCAACAATGGATCAATCAACGGTTAAACTTATATTACATCAGATGTGTTATTCAGAGTCACTTTTAATAGTCACCAATTGACTCAAAGTTAAGTATTGTATTCCTTTCTGAATTTTATGTATACGTGCTGTGTTATAATACAACGAATGCATAAACAACAGCTACACAATAATTATATTAACTAACCATTTTTCTTGTTATATTTTTATTTTTGTTTTTTTTTTTTGAAGATATTATTTAAATGTATATATTTATTATCTTTGTAAATAATTCCTTTTTTTTTTGGATGTTTGTTTATTATTACAAAAAAGTTATGCTAGTGTTATTTTACGAACAATTTAAGCTATACAATACATACTTCCTCAGTATTTATGCTAATGTTATTCTACAAACACTTACTTTTTCATTATTGCCTTAATTAATTCTAATTTAATTATAATTTTAAGTCAATTATGATGAAAAAAACTATTTTTATTATAGACAATAAAAGAAAAAATATTTTATTGTTCAATTTACATTCGATATTTTATTTATAGTTAAGCGATATGGCGGAAAACTTTAATGTTGCAAGTGAAGAGAGAAACATTTCCGACGGCCCTTGGGTCTTACTCTATACTATACTATACAGCGATGATATGCTTTTACCTTAACGAGCTTCATTTGTCGTTTTACTCTATAAGTTTATTGTGAATGATTAACATTAAGAAAAACGCAAATACACATTAAATAATGATATTTTCCGCCATTATGTTTATTTTCAACTATAAATTTTGTATAATGGTGTGTTAAGTATTTAAATATTTACCCCTCTGCCGTTCTTCGTTACGTTTATATGCACATAAAGTTATATGCAAATTAAAACGTAATTTATTTTAATTACTTGCAATTATATGTAAACAATTAAGGCGCCGAAAATATATGAACACTGAAAATTAAATATAATTTATGCACTTTATAATTATTGTTAACACAGTTTAAGCACATTAATATATATATATATATATATACTCGTATATATAAGTAGATATTTTTTCCTTGTTCTTTTTTTTTGTATATTTTAATTTACTGCGTATGTGGTGGAGATGCATCTATATGCTGCAAGGATATCTTTTAATTTGCGAAAAATTTTAATAGTTTTTTTTGTTTTTTCTTTTATTTCATTTTATTATTTGTTTTTATTTAAATGCATTTAATTTATGGCAAGTTTTTCATTTATTTGCGTACTTAAATATATTGTTGATAACTGTGGTGCATAATTTTTCATAATATCTGAACGCAACCGAGCTCAGTGCAACTCAGCTTAGCTCAACTGAGCTTAACACGGCTTGGCGGCTCATTTAAATTATATTTTATGCAAAAGTTTTGTGGTTTGTTGCAACTTTTACAATTAAATTTCTTTCAGTTTTTAGTATTTTTATTTCATGATTTTGTTTTTTTTTTTGTTTTCTTATTTATTATTATTATTTTTTTTTTTTTTTGATTTATTATTATTATTGTTTTGTTTTTTCTTTGTTTTTTTGTTGTTGGTTTTTGTAACTCTTTAAACGTTTCGAAATATCCTTAATGCCACTTTTACGCAGTACGCAGCAGAGTAGGAAATCAACATTAATTGCACATTGAGGCCGACACGTCTATGAAAGTTCAGTTATTTCCTGTCCGCACGCACACACACAAATGCACACAAATGCACCAACCATATGCACACATATGCACACAGCCATACAGACAGACAGAGTCCTTTTAACCAGAGTTGCTTTACGGTTGCGTTACGTTGCGTTTGTGATGTGCTTATTTAACTTCCGTTGATATTATGGTGCCTTTTTATATTTGTATTTGTAGCTTACGTTTCCGTAATGGCGTCAAACGGAAATTCATTACACACACACATTCACACCCAAACATACGCACAACTAAAACCACAAACATAAAACCCAGACAAATTCTACTTCAAGTTTTGAATTGCACTAATCTTTTTTATACTTGTAGTTGTAGTTCTTGTTGGTATTAGTGTTGGTGTTAGTGTTAGTGTTAGTGTGGAGTACTAAATTTTATTACTTTGAGATTTTTCAATTTTATTTTATTTTAAAAGGAAGTATTTTATAAGCAGATATGAAATATGTTTTTTTAAGTGGAAAAAAAAATATTTTCCTACAATTTTTTATAAATATTCCTATACATAAATATAAACATATTAAATAAATATATATAATATAATCGTCATTAACGCTTTCAGGTGATATATCCTTACGATCTTAATGATATAATGAGTTAATTTATATTAGATTACACACTGAACGATGTCGACTGTAATATTTATATTATAAATATTTTTTAAAAAAAT